AAAAACCCTAAAATGTTCAGCAGGAAACACGTTCCCTTCCCCTTTTATTTCTATTTCTATTTTCTATTTTTCAGTTTTTATTTTTTATTTTTTAAGATAAGTTAATAATTGTGTAAATAAATTGTAATTATATTGTTTAAATTAAAAGTCTTTTGAAAAATCATAATTTAAACTCATTTTTAATAACTTAACATTAAACCCATTATTGAAACTTTTTTTAACAAGAAAATATTTAACTAAAACTCCTATTAACACTTGTTTTTAAAAATTAATTAAACCCACTTTTTTTAAATTTTAAATTAGAACCATTTTTAATACCATAAAATTAAAACTTCGATTTAAAATTAATATTTTTAAATAAGGTTAAAGTTTGAATTTTAAAATTAAAATTTTCTTTTAATTGTTAAGTTTATTAATCCAATTCTTTTTCTAAATAAAATCCAAATTTTTTTAAATATTAATTTATGACAAATTTTCAAACCAACATTAAACTTTTCTTAAAATATGGCTAACCTCTCGGTTTCAATTGCGAATTAATTTTTCCTGTTCATTGCCCGTTAACTTTGTATAACGCTTATGTCGTTCCATTTCATTTTTTTCTCAGTTGTACAACTATATTACTTTATTTGTCAGATTTCATTTTGGTTTGTAATTTATGCGAGGCTATCGTCGCTGTTGTTTTCAATTCCGTTTCATTTTGGTTTGTAATTTATGTGAGGCTATCGTCGTTGTTGTTTTCAATTCCGTTACCATTCTTACGCTTTCTCATATTTTAATTCTGCCATGTAATCAATTATTCATTTGCATTATTTACCGTTAAACCCTTCCGAAGAAATAGGTCTAGTAGTTTGACCGCCGCGTCAAGTCCTTACCTTTGACTCTTTCACTCTTTCGATTTATCTAAGGACAAGGTAAATAGGTTTCCAAAGTTGTTTTTTAGTTTTCTTCCGCCAATCCACCAATCACTCCAGAATTTTGTGTCTTTACTGTCACCAACTGCTTTTTTTAATCTAGATGATAACCAGTCCTCCTTGAGATCTCCGTTTTTCTTATCTAGTTGGCATATGTCGTGCCACCAAATGGATGGTCCATTCCCACTCACTCTAATATATCCATCTCTCTCACCGTATCTATTCATAAAAGCTTCGAACTAGAGCCCTTCTCTTTCATTTATTAGTTTCCACTTCCATTTTCCTAACAAAGCTATGTTGAAAGCCCTCAAATTCTTAATGCCCAACCCCCTCTTCAATGGGCCTACACACCTTATCCCATTTGACCCAGTTTATTTTCTTCCCTTTCTCTTTTTCACCCCATAGAAACTGGTTAAAGAGATATTCAAGTTTAGAAATGATACCTAACGGAGTTAAAGAAAGAGAAAAAGTAGATCGAAAGTACCGACAAGACTGATTATATAACAACAACTCGACCACCAATCGATAGTTTCTTGTTATTCCACCTCGACAGTCTATATCTCACTATGTCTATAACTGGATGTTACATCGCCTTTGTTTTTGACTTAGTACCAATTGGCATCCTAAGATATTTAAAAATTGTATATCCTAATTTGCTATTTAACACATTTGCTTCTTCTTCGAGCCATTGGTGAAAGATATTTATCCCGATCAATAAACTTTTTTGATAGTTAACCTTGAGCCCCGTCATAATCTCAAACAATATAAGATTGGACTTGATGGAGCAAACGTTTGTCCAACATTTCCTGTCGATGATTAGTGTGTCGTTAACATATTGTAAATGAGAAAACTGTTTTGTCCCACCCTCAAATGTGTACCGAAAGAATCTCCCCGTGGTCAAGGCCTTTTCCATTAATATGTTAAAGCCTTCGGTTACCAGAAGGAAAAGAAAAGGCGACATTGGATCACCTTATCTAATGCCTCAACTCATATTAAACTCCTTAGTGGAACTTCCATTTACCAATATCGAAAATGATACTGTTTTTTTTTTTTACATTCTTAAATCCATTTTCTCTATTTCTCGTGGAACTCCATTTTTTCCATCACAAAATCTAAAAAACTCCAATCAACCGAGTCGTAAGCCTTTTCAAATTCAACCTTAAACATCACCACCTCCTTTTTTTGGTTTTCCTTGCTTAATCCACGATCTCATTTACGACGAGGATACCATATAATATATGTCTTACGGCTACAAATGCAGACTGTGTTTCTAATATAATCGAGTCGATTACTTTTTTGAGTCTGTTTGCTAACACTTTGCATATTACCTCTAACCTATAAATAAAGGTCCATTTCCACTCTTTTTCACCTTCAGAAATGTGGTTTTCACTTCTCACCTCTCTCTCTATCTCTTTAAAAATCATTTTTGTATACTTTCTCACACGAAAAATTTAGCCTAAATTCTTTTCAAGAAAGTTCTTTTGCGAGTGAGGAAAGTGTAATTTTGGAAGGGTATTTTTGTAAGTTCACCAAGGAAATTTTGCTTATATCTTGGTTGAACATTTTATCCACTTATGAATTATTTTTTTGAGTTCAAAGATAAACCCGTAAAAAGCTTAGGTTTAAGATTTGTGTGATCAAGTCTCTTATTTTGGTTAGAGATCGGCTCGTGGTAAAATCTCATTGGTTTTTGGTTAGTCAGTGATAAAACAAATTTTAGCTTAAAGCTTAGCCCGATGTTAAAGACTTATTTTGGTTCGAGATCATCCTGAATGTAAAATCTCACTAGTTATTAGTTAGTTTGATATATAACCAAGGTTTAGAATTGGGATCTCATCTCGGTGTTAAAAACTTTCAAGCTTTGTTTAGAAGCTTGAAGAATAATCGCTCCAAGATTCTGAAAGAAAGAGGATTAACCGCTTCGATCCATCGTTTGAAAGGAAGACTCGCCTCTTCACTCTCTGGTTTATTGTTTGGTTAAAAGTTATCCATAAACTTCATTTTCTTTGTATGAGATGGTTTGTGAGTTATACATACTAAAAACTCTCATGCTTATTGGATACTTTTAAGAACAGTTCTTGGAGAAAGGATCAGATATATTTTTCTCTTTCGATTGAACCTCTATAATTTTCGATGTCTTCTCTTTTACCTTAACGTTTTATTCCCGCATTTTATTTTTCGCTACATAAAATCAACTTTTTTCATCATGATCACTTCTAATAGTTGCAATTTTCAAGTCTTTTTTAACTTGCAGTTGCTTGCAGAACACTGTGAACACATAATGAGACTCATCCTTATGTTTAGAAATTTTACCCATGTTCATCTTCTATAATCATCAAAGTAGTTCATATTTCTTAACATTTACCTGTGTCATTTTCATTGATCTAAATAGGTCAACGTGTAAAAAATCTAGTGGTCTAAAGGAGGTAAAATGAAAATAGTTTTCAAAAGGTTTCTATTCGACACTCCTCACAAAGAACGTTTGATTGATACTTCAGATAAGAAAAGTCTCTTACAAACTTAAGTTTATTAAGCTTTGAGATTAATTTTAAATTAGCATGTATCAATTTTTTTTTGCCATTGTCCATTGCTCTTCATTTAATAATTTAAGATATGTCACCTCTTGTTTTACATAGTCATACAACTCTGATTTTATAAATGTTTTTTCTCCTTGTTCTACTAAATAGGACATATCTATCGTTTTTAACTATAGTCTTACAAAAAAAATTATTGAAGAAAACATCATAACCATAATTTCTTAATTGACTTATGACTATTATATTATCCATTAGAGTAATCAACTAAAAACACATTATTGACATAGGAAAGAAATACATTACATATTTTGTGGAGTCCTATGATCCCACCCTTCTAATTTCCTCTAAAACCAATAATACATCCTTCTTTCATCTTGAGGTGTTGGAACAAGGTATTACTCTTGTCATGTCATGAGCATTCATGGTCTAGATAACAAGACAAGGATTTTAAGATTTTTAAAAGTATGTACAATATAGAAAATTTTGTTTTTAAGTGCTCAAATTATTTTTGGATCCTCCTTTATTATTTTTATATAGTTTCTTGTCTTTTCAGGTTTTATTTTTATATAGTTTCTTGTCTTTTCAGGTTTTTAACATTGGACAAGTTCTCTTGTTGTGACATTACTTCAAAAAGTAAAAACAAAGAATTTTAGGATCACGAATCTCAACCATAGATTCGTTAGCATATCAGGGTTCTTTCTTAATACTCATGTTTACACCATAGATTAGAGAGACCAACGTGTTTCTATCTATGTTGTTAGTCAAAAATACTTGAAAAACTCTTCGAACTTTTCAGACTTGCATATTCGTTATGAAATATTAAGATAATTGACTTTTTTAAGATTTATTTCATTTTCAAAACATCAATATTTTGTTCTAGGATTTCATGATGTGTTAATGATTTGTCATAGTTCTCTTTGAAACCTTTACGCTTGACAATCATTCTCCAGATTATACCAAACAGCTCACTCAAGATAAAAACTTCACAAGATAAGTTTAAAAATACCTCATCTTCATCAACATCACCATTTATTGTATCATTGGATTCCACACTAATGGCTGTTGAAGACATTAAGACTAAATTTGCATATTCATCTTCTTCCTTAGCATGTCTCGAAAAGTGCATTTGTTTGATACTTCACATTCGGCAAAAGCCTCTCACAAGCTTAAGCTTATTAAACTATGCCTCAAAGCTTGACATTTAAAATTATTGTTTTAATTATAATAAAAACAAACTCAAATAGTTTCTATAATTTTCAAAGCATTGTATACCAACTTGAAGAAATTCTACTCCTCTCAATACTTTAAGCTCAGTAAAGTGCTCCATTGATATATATATAAAGTAACCGAAAATAGAGGTAGAACAAGAAAAAAAAAAAGAAAAAAAAAAGCAGTACATTGATACAACAAGAACAAAGATGCACTGTTGAAATTTACTATACAAATAAATTAAAATTAAAGTCAACAGAAAAAAGGGGAAAAGAAATATAAATTGTTCTATACTAGTACTACTACCAGTTATAGAAAAGCAAGTGCATTAGAAATATATAACTCAATGCTCTGCTTTAACCCTCACATCTCCATTGGGCAATACACTCTGTGCCTGTGCCAAACGTTTCATTTCCTACATAGATCCAATAAGGCAAAGATTAGTGTTAATAAAAATTAAGTAAACATTGTAAAATCTAATAATTGACTCAAGGACTTAATTTGGCCAGAGTTATATATCCTTTTTGTTTGATTTGCAGTGAACTACATAAAACAAATGGCACCTAACTCTATCTTGTTCCTTGATACGCTATTAATATGAAGTGTTGTCAAATAGCATGTATAGCAGCAAAAGGATGAAAGATAACTGCAAAAGGATGAATATCTAATGCCCATAGAGCCAAGACTAATATTCGTTGTCCATAACTACACAAATGATTTCCCAAAGATACCTCTTTTCTATCCTTCAACCCATATATAACAAACTCAACCCTTTCTCTTTTCTCTAATGTAACTAACTTTTGTTTCTCTAATTCTCCTCTTTGAAGCCACAAGCATTATAGGACAACAAAAGGAGATTTAACTATTTAAGTCTTGGAACACCCAGAAAAAAGGAATGGCAAAAACTGAGGTGGAAGAACCACATAGGTTCAGTGAGGGAAAACGACTACAGTAAAAAAAACACTCCACAAGTTTGCAGTGTTGTGAAAGTTATGGGCTAGACATGGAAAAAAATTCATCTGCCCAATACATAAACCATTTTAGTACCGGGATCAGATGAATTCTTAGAAACACAGATCCTGCAAAAAATCTTGGTGTAATTTGCCACTGATTGCAGCAAAACTTGTCTAAGCAGGGACCAAGATTGCAAAAGTAGGAGAAATATGTAAAGTCGTGTAATTCAAAGGACGTTTCAATAGAGGACCAAATAAGTAACACATACCGCAGCAGAAGCAGCCCGACTCTCTCTAAATGTTTCAACCTCATCAGGAAAGTTTACCTCCAATTCCTCCAATAAATGCTTGCGTAAATTCTGCCACAAACAGAAACACTAAGTTGAACTAAAGCAGCTCATTAAATATACGGGAAGACAACAAAATGTGTACAAAAAGAGCATGTTTATCAAATAAAAATCAAGAATCATAACCAACCTTTAAAGCATCAGTTTTTCCTTTGGTGATCTGATTCTTTGCAATACAGTTGTTTATAATATCTCTAGTAAATTCATCTGGATTCTTCCCATCATCAATTAAACTAAGATCAGGAATAAGTGAACAGTTAAAATCAAGTTAAAAGAAACATGTTCTGTCTCTTAAAGAAAAACATAGAACTACATAAAGAGGTAAAAAAAACTTACTTTACAACCTCCATAGGAACCTGAATGTTACACTTTTCTGCCAATTTCACCATGTTGTCAAGCTCTGCAACAAGACCATTTCTGGAGAAAGAAAAAGATAGTCAAAATATCATTAACTTGAGACATGGACATAAAGTAAAACAAATGAAATATAGGGAAGGTATCGAGAGAAATACATGCGTTGGAGGAGTGGCATTTGAAAGGCAGCATTGAAGGTAGAGACGGTAAGATAAAGCTGATGGATAAGACCCAAGGTTTTCTGAATGGAGTTGCTGATCTGGTTCAGGTTTTGCATAGAATCATCAGCTCCTGCTGCAGAAGCTGCAGTATCGTTAGTTTGAGAAATGGGCGTCCCATTTCCTCCTGTAGATGGACTTTGTGTTGAATCCATTTGTGTTTCACTGTAAACTGGAACATTTTTAAGACAGTCAATATAGAATGCAAAAAAACTAATGAAAGCAAGAGACTAAGCATAATGTTATGTATATAGCCTAGGGGTGGCAAACGGGCAATGCCCACCCCGTTAAGGCCCGTCTCGCAAAAAAACTAGACTGAGTGAGGCAGACATAATTGAGGCTGCATGCTTAAAACCTCAGCCCGCCTCACAAAAAAGTGAGGGTGGAACGGGTCCGCAGGCACTGCACATTTATGCTTAAAAATGTAAAAAATTATGTTAATACCCACGCCCAAAAAAACGGGACGGGGCGGACACGCTATAGGATGCGAGCCTAAAATCTTAGTCCGCCCAGCAAACAAATGCGGACAAAACGGATATGTCCGACGGGTCAGCCCCGTTTTTCCACCCTTAATATATCCCGGAGATTACTGCGTAATGTTATTCAATAAGTAAACACAAAGAAATAATTAAAAATAATTAGGCAGATCCTTTGTAGAAACAAACAAAACTCCCCTAAAATGTAATTTAAGTGTTTTTTCAATAGCTCATAAGAGTAAATTTTAAAATACATGCGTATCTGTGTGTCAAAGCTTCCTTTCTTGATGGTTTTCCTTCCTTTCAAGTTCAGTCCATTTCATTCATATCCCTACGTGGATCTTTGATCTTTCTACAAATAATATAACTAATTTACGTAAATAAAAGGATATGACACATTTTTAATAATTTGCATATGATTTGAATAATTGTTGGGGAGTCCGAGGACCGCCGAAAAATCTCAATGGATTAAACATTCATTATGCAAGAGACTTTGACACCACATATCCATCCAAAAGGATTAAAGAGACCTTGATAACACATATCCACCCAAAACTTTAAGGCAATAGAGTATGGGTCACCTCTCATAAATATCCAACATTTCCTCAATTTCTAGTCAATGTGAGACTTAATCACTCACACTTGAATTCAACAATTTCTCCCACAAATGTAAGTCACCCACATTACTAGCCTTAATCCATGCTAGGATCCCACTTCCTCTCCCAAAAATGTGAGTCACTAGCCTTGATCCATAAAACAAAATCCCCTAATTTGAAAAACTGAAAATTTGTAAAGGGTCACCCACCCTTCAAACTCCGAAACAAAGCCTAAGGCAAGGGAAATATAGGTTACATCTCGTGTATATATACACAACATTTTCTTCATTTCTAGTAGATGGGGGTACTATCCACCCACACTTAAAAAATTAAATCCAAATACTAATCATTGTTTATTACTCCATGATTATTTAATGCTATTGTCAAATAGAACACATAAACTTGTAAATCAATTTGGGGAATATGAACCATAAATGAAAGAACACGGCAAGCAGTTCTCTCAATCAACCTCTTGCATATCAAATTCCCAATTTATCAATCGCACCGGTGCTAAACCGTAGTTCAATCACTGGTGCGTTTCCTTAGAGGAACGGTTATCGCGGCCGCAAATCGCGTCATCACAAAAAAATTGAGAATGAAAAATAAAAGAGGAAAACCTGGGTGGAGTTTCTCAGAGATTATTGCGGCCAACAACCAGCACCGGTAGCGTTTCCGGCGAGTTGAATTCAGTGTAAAGTAGCACGCGATTTGTGTTTTAAGCTGTTTGGATTTGATTGTGTTTCGTGTAATGGTGAAAATTTTAATACATTTACTTTACAAAACTAAAAAAATACTATTTTTATTTATTTATTTATTTTAACAGTTTAACTAATTTTTTACCTTCACTTTTAACATTTTTAAATTTGGTCAAAGTTCACTTCACACAAGACAAGTGTTTCTTGTTTGTGATTATAATTTGTTTCTTATGTAACATGGTTACTGGATTATTTATATAATTTTTTTCTGATCGATTGATGGATTACTTCATTTTTACTTTTGAAAAGATTTAATTTTCTTTTTTGAATTTTTTATTATATTTTATAAATATAAAGATCTCTTTATACATATTACTTATGAAAATCAAAAGAATTGATGGAATATGATAGCAATAGATTTCATGTTTTATTTTGTTTCATCTATAATTTACAAATTTAAATAATAGAATTTTAGTATATCACTTTATTTCATTGTATTTTATCAATCCAAATAACTGTGAATATTATATATAAATTTTGTGTGAAAGTCTAAAACCCCATTTATACTATAATATTAGAAAAGATAGTTTTTGTGTATTACAATCAAAGCTAGATAACATGTAATGTCACTTTTATGATCGGGCATAATATCTTTTTCGAACGCATTGACAATTCCATCAACATCATCGATACCAAGAACATGCCTCCAAACTGCAGGAAACTAAAACATAGTCCATCATATTCTAATTCAAAATAAAAATAAAAAACAAAAAATCAAGCAAGCAAATAATGGTTTTTTTTTAAAAGACTTTAGTTACTTTGACATCAATATTGATCATAAGCCATAACATATGGTAGCTCTAAACATAATATTACATTTCTTACAACTAGACTAAAATACAATTTTACAAAATCAAATCAAATAAAAAAATTTTGATTCTTGATAATTTCCTACTAGTCAAATGAAAACATAAAGGCAGTACCAAATTGTGAAGGACGCTAATTTGTAAGATAATGATAATCAAGTATTATAGATCAATGCTTCTCTTTGTCACAAATTCAAATAATGAGTTTGAGTAGCAATAAATCCTTTGAGAACACAACTATAATATTAAACTTTCAACACCCACACAACATATTTTCTCATCTAGTGGTGTTTTCTTACATCCATAGCCATTGAATGACAACAAAGCATATAAAATCATAAGAAAAATCCATATCAAAACTCCATGTCGCTTTGAATAATCATGCATGTTAAACAACACTTAACTGTCAACACCTACTTAATAATTTTTATAAGCAAAAAGAAAATAAAGTCAAACATTTTTGTTGTTCCATCTACTTCTATATTTATGTTTATGGATATTCCTCTAATAAATACTCCAACTAACATAGAGAGGGTGTGATTTCATTTTCATGCTCAACTTCAACCATACCTCATGGTGACATGGTCTATGTTGCAAACTCATGCGTTTTATTTGGGATTGTCATTTCACATTCATTTTGTCTGCAAGAATAATAAAACATGTATAACAAATTGCAACAAGATTGAACATTAAGTCATATTGAACTTTATACCGTTATCAATCTTCATCGAAAACAATAGAAGCTGAATAACTACTACTTTTTTTTGAAGAAGCTATTTCTGAAATGAAAAAAAAAAAACAAGCATTACAACTTATTATTAATCAATTTATAATCTAATAAAATGATTACTTGTCTTAAACATGTATAAGTATTTTACCTTTTTCTAATTTCTCAAGCTCCTTGTAGTTCTCAACTAAAACTGAATCAATGATTGAACATTTACGCAATGTTTTAAGGCAGTTGTAACTACAAACAAGGGCTTTCGTTGTTTAAGGTGTGAGACAACTGCGATATTCATCCATCACTCGTCCTCCAAGACTAAAAGTAGACTCAAATGCTACAGTAAAGATAGGTAGGGCAAACAAGTATTTTGCCATCTTTGCAAGGACTGGATGACAATTGGAATTTTCCCTCCACCAATTTAAAATATCAAAGTCAATGGTAAACTGAACCTCTAAAGATTCTTCTAGATACTTTTCCAAATCATTCTTGTCCGCAAAGGAAGATCTAGTGCACTATAGAAAATGATTATAACCGTAAAGATCTTCCTTACAACTTAAATCAAATTGATTCACAAGTGAATCACTTTGGGACTCATCCCCGACATCACTATACTCCACGAATAGTTCATTCAAGTGAGTATCCAACAAATCTCTTAACTTTTTGCCTCTAATGAATCAAAATTCTGATTGATCAACCAAGTGACAAATTTTAATTTGTACTTGGAGTCTAAGACAAAAGAAATCAACATTATATTTATCTTCTCAGGTTTTCCCCAATATTTGTCATTTTTTTCATCTTGAAATACACATGTTATTTATATTTTCCCATATATCAAATACCTCTAACATATAAGTATTAGAAGCCACATAGGAGGAACCAGATATCCAAAGTGTACTATCATAAACGATTTTCAAAAATGGAAGAAACGATTATGCTTTTGTCTAGTCTAAACTTGTGGGTACACCATTTCCCTTTTCAACTAGCTCTTGAATGTACATGGGATCATGGATTTCAAGTACTTCAAAAGCTTTTTGATATTTCAAAGCTTAGTCTAAGATAAGTTCAATTCTACCTTGTTTCTACATCAAGGCACACAAGACATTTGTACTTGGTGTTTGATCGTTTTATAAATTCTTTGAATTTCGCAAACCTATAAGCAGAAGACTTGGCATATTCGACAGAACCTCAGATCCTCAAGATAGACTTTTCAAGATCTTTGAACCCTTCCTTAACAAGTGTGACAGACAATATTTGATTAAGTCCTCAATCTATCTGATCTTACCGAATGATCAGAACCTGAGATGGGTCAAGGACAAATGTATGTGATGCTGGGTGTGAAAGAGGAGGATGGGGTGTACCTACAAGGCACTCTGATGTTAAAGTAAGAAAACGAACAAGAGAGTGAGCAAGTACAAAATTTGTGTGTTTCAAGGTGAGAAATTGGATATCTGACCCTCTCAAATGAAAGAGTTTTTATAATTCCCCCAGCGCTTGGCCATTTGTCCCTATTTTCGGGGCGAGATAACCGTTTCCTGAAGAATAGGTAACTGCTAGAAATAGTCGTTGGGACGGGAAGACGTGCCCATAACTAGGCGTTGGCACGGACAGGAACATAGTTATGAGCACAAGGGTCTTAGCTGTTTTTGGATGGTAGAACCGTACGTGACGGGCAGGTACTGACGGGGAGAAGTGTTGTGACCAAGGGTAAATAGGTCAACCTCCCCTATTAGAGGGGCAGAAAGGTAAACTCTTTCCCTAATAGGTTGAACTTAAGCAATTAGGCCATTCTGGGAGCAGA